CCGTCTTGGGGAGGGGGTGGAATTTAAAACTCAAAAGCTTATGGAAGTGAATGTTGAAAACTACAAATAAATAAATTTAAAAAAAAAACCAAACAAACTCCTACTCTAGAAATACAACAGAAAAGGATAAGCTTAGAATCCAGTTTTCACAGTGGTGATCTCCCTGAGGGCAGGGACCATGTCCTATATACATGTGTGTGTATGTATATATGTGTACGTATATATGTGTGTGTATGTATGTAAGTACATATATATATATATATACACGTGTGTATTTCCTATATCCGTAGCATCAGTGCCTAGAAAAAGACCTTGTAAAGAATTAGTGCTAGGTAGCACAGTAGATAGAACACCAGGCCAAAAGTCAGGAAGATTCATCTACCTAAGTTCAAATCTGGCCTCAGACATTTACTAGCCATTCCCTAATCCCCTTAACTGTCCATGTTTTCTCCTTCCTCAGATTCTTTTATGTTACATCCTCTGGGACAGTATAAGCTTTTTGAGGCCAGGGGTTATTTTTCATTTTTTTCTTTCTTTCTCTAGCATAATGCTTTATATTAGAAGGCACTTAGTAAATATTTGCTGGGTTTATTTGAGTTGAATTGGATTCTTTTCTTCCTCCTTTCTCTTTCCCTTCAGAAATGCTATTCCAGCTTTTTTTCCACCTTTTTAAAAAATAAGAAATGCAGGGTCAGGAAAGGGGCATACTGGTTTGGAAACACATTTGGCCTCTTTTCTTCTTTTTTTTTTGATGAGGCAGTCAGAGTTAAGTGACTTGCCCAGGTCACACAGCTAGTTAAGTGTCAAGTGTCAGAGGCCACATTTGAACTCAGGTCCTCCTGACTCCAAGGCTGGAGCTCTATCCACTTTATTGCCTAGCTGCCCCTTCATTTGGCTTCTTTTCAAAGGCTCACGGTGACTTTGCTTGAAGGCCAGAGAAAGCATTTGGAGACAATTTGGATTGCAAAAAATGAAAAAGGTTTTTCACAAACAAAACCAATGCAGTTAAAATTAGAAGGGAAACGGTAAACTTGGAAATAACTTTTGCAGAAAGCTTTTCTGATAAAGGTTTTACATCCAAGGTATTTAAGGAACTGATTGTAAAAACAGGAGCCATTCCCCAGTAGATAAATTGAACCAATGATATGACCAGGCAATTTTTGAAGGAAGAAATCCAAGCATATGGAAAAATCACTAATTAGAGAAATACAAATGAAAATAACTCTGGAGTTCTCCCACAGCCTTCAGATTGGCAAAGATGACAAAAAAGGAAAATGACAGTTGTCAGAGGATCTGTGAGAGGTTAGGCAAACTAATTCACTGTTGGTGGAACTGAATTGGTCTAGTCATTCTTGAAAGCAGTTTGGAGCTGTGCCTCAAAAGTCATGAATCTGCATACCTGGTAACACAAATGGTCTAGCAGCACATACATCAGAGAGATCAGAAAAGAGGAAAATGACCTATAGGTATGAAAATATTGATAGCATCTCTCTGTTATGGCAAAGAACTTGAAGCCACAGGAGTGTCTATTAATTGGGGGATGCTTGAACAAATTATGGTATAAAAAAGTTATGGAATGTTGTTGTACCATATGAAATGGTGAAGGGGATAGTTTCAGAGAAGCTTGAGGACACTTGTGTGAATTGATACAGAGTGAGTGAGACATTGGAAAGGCAAACAACCTTGAAAGACTTCAGAACTCTGATGTGCCAGTGACCTTCTGTGGTTCCAGAGAACTGGCAAGGAACCATGCTATCCGCTGCTGAGAGATAGGGGATGGCCTAAGACCTTTTATAAAGTCAGCCAGTTTGGGAATTTGTTTTGCCTGAATATCAGTGTTGCTACAGTAGTTTTATTTTTCCTCTTTCCCAATTTTGGGGGATAAGTTGGGGGGGGAAGGTAAGGTAAGGTAGGGGAGCTAAAAAGAAAGAAAAGCGGGCCATTAAAACATGGTTTGAAATACACAGAAGAGAACAAAAGGAAATCTAGAAGGAATCACAGGCTGATGGGACGGCTTTGAAAATAACATGTTGGATTACGATCCATCTTGTCAACTGGCAATCACAACTTCACAAAACTTACGTGAAAACTAGGTTTATTTATTGCAAGAGAAACACGTGTGTGGAACCCAAAGAATTCATAATCCATATAGAAGTTTACATTTTTATAACAGCAGGACAAAGGGAGGAGGAGATACCAGAAATCTCTACCTAAAGGGGTGTGGCATGAGAGGGGGAAAGGTGCAGTAAAGGTGGGAAAGGGACAGAACCCCTCCTGAAGGGGAGGAGCAAAAGCCACATTCTTTCCCCTGGGGAGCTGCTAGGCCATGAAAATAGGATGGTCTGCTTATCTACAAGAGTCTCAGCTGCACAAGCAGTTTCTTAGCCCAGCACAGACTGACTGGTGCTTGTTTTGATTCCCAAGGACACACAGGGAGTCCAGCTTGGGGTACAAACAACACATTTATGTCAGCTCAGAGCAGAGTTTCATTTTGATACATTCAGGGCCTCATGCTTGCTCTGGGTTCATTGTTTCTGGAAAATATGGCAACTCAAAAAGACAAATTCAGGGGACCCCTTAATAGTCCTTAACAATCCTCAACTTTTGTTTGGGTAACATTCCTAAAAAACCTTGCAAAAGACAAAAACTACAAATCTTGATACGTTGAACCTATGGGAAGTAGGGGTTAGGTCCCTGTGACCATCACAAACTAATCTTTCCCTAGAGATTCCTGTAAAATACTTTTCTGTATATAATTCTTTGTGACAAAACATTAATTCTGATAACATCCACTTTTCCTAACACAGTAACAATGAAATAACCCATAACATGCAGTACACAAAATAAAATTGGTAACGTACAAAACATTTTTTTTACTGGGGCAGCTAGGTGGCGCAGTGGATGGAACACCGGCCCTGGAGTCAGGAGGACCGCAGTTCAAATCCGACCTCAGATACATAACACTTACCAGCTGTGTGACTCTGGGCAAGTCACTTAACCCTGATTGCCTCACGCAAAACAGAAAACAAAACAAAAAACCCCATTTTTTAATTGCTAGTTATTCCCTAAAATTTTGTGACCTTTTGTGTAAATATCTCAAAAAAAAAGATTGATTTCAGATAGTATTAACTTTTTATAATACGTGAAATCTACAGTACCATAAGTATTGTATAGCAAATAAAATTCTTAAAACTGAAACTTTTTTAACCTGAATCTTATCTTCTACTGTGTCAGGTGGTGGTGTGTGTTGTACTATATATAGAATTATAAATTCGTTAACACCAAACTGGTGGATGACTGACTATGGCTGCAGACATGAGAGCTCAAAGTTCACCTCACACTTTTATTTTTTCACTAAGCCACATCACTGACTTTACACATTTGGGCTTAGAGCCCAATTGACTTGCACGATGCTTTGGGGGCATAATCACAACACAGAACTTGAGTTTTAAAGACAGTGAAAATACTCAACGAATACAGCACAGCTCTTTACAGTGATAGGGGGAGCACGACGAGTGAAGCGCCTGGTAGAACACCAGCTGCTCCACAAATTTGCACCTCAGCAAATCTCTTTCTCTCTCTGGGCCTCAGTTTCCTCATCTGTAAAACAGATGGCTTCTTAAGGTCCCATTCAGCTCCGTGTCTCTGCTGTTATGATCCTAAGTCAAGCCTCATTTCCAGTTGGGGCGTCTGGTCTGTCTGTGTCTGATCCTCTACAGCTTGTGCTAATTCTCCTTCCTGCCCCCTTAGCCCAGGTCTCATCCTCAAATGCTGCTGCTTCTAGGAGGCCTTCCCTGACCCCTGTGGACAACTGCTCCCCATTCTACTCTGCCCCCCCAGCTCCATAACACCCTTTTCTGTCTTAAGCCTCCCCTAGTGCTTTGTTTTGTAATATATTACGGTTCTCTGTCTTACCCCTCAGTGGTCAGTGAGCCCTAGGAAAAGAGAAACTAAAGCTTATGTAGATTTGTTTCCCCCAGCTCAGGGCCCGCATACAGAAGGTGCTTAATAACTGGGTTTTGTTTTGTTTTTTTGGATGAGTGTCTTGACTCACTTTTGGCAATGCTGGAGGCCCTGCAGGCCCTGCCCTTCTTTGCCAGGCCTTAGGATCCCTCAGTTATCGGGTGCATTTTCAGCAGGCTTGCTCTTGCCTAATGCTTTTCTCCTTCCATCCCACCTAAATTGCCTTAGTTGTTGCACTACTCCTCAGCATTCCTCTCTGGCTTCCTTTCCTCTCCTCAGCTCTTCTCCTCCCTACCCTCATTCTTGTTTTTCTTCTTTTCCTAGGAAGTTAAAGGCAGTCTCCTAGTGTAGTGGAAGGAGCCCAGGCCTAGCAATCAAGAGACATAGGAGGGAAGGCAGGCGGCTAGAGGGGACATTGGATTGGAGTACCAGGCCTGGAGTCAGGAAGACTCATCTTCTGAGTTCAAATCTGGCTTCAGACGATTACTAGCTGTGTGGCCCTGGGCGAGTCACTTCACCCTGTTTGCCTCAGTTTCCTTATCTGTAAAATGAGCTGGAGAAGGAGATGGCCAACTACCCCAGTCGTATCTTTGCCAAGAATATCCCAAATGAGGTCACAAAGATTTAGACACTCCTGAACAACCGCAGAAAGGAAAGAAATCTACATTTACTGTCTTCTGTGTGCCAGGCACTTTACCAATATGATCTCATTTGATCCTCACAATAACTGGGAAGTAGGTGCTGTTATGGCTCCCGTTTACAGTGGAGGAAACCGAAGCAAACAGAAGTGAAGTGAGTTGCCCAGGGTCGGTGCCTGAGGCCGAGTTTGACCCCAGGTCTTGAAGACTCCAGGCCTTGCACTCTGTGCCCTGCCCCCGGGGCTCTCATGTTGGCCCTGCTGTCCCTGCTTGTGTGACCTGGGTCCCCAGCAGTCACAGTTCCAGGGTGGTGGAGGGAAGGGAGCGTATGAGGGGTCTTCCTCTGTGCTCTGTCACTGCTCTTCGTGACTTAGTCTCCTGCCTGTCCTCCTGCTACAGACTTGGCTGGGTGTCAGCTCGTCTCCTTCCCTGTCGCGATCTACAAAGTGCTCCGGAACGTTGTCCGGCACATTCACTTCATCGACCTGTCCAACAATGAGCTCCATTCCCTCACCAACAAGTTCATGACTACGTTCAGCCACCTCCGAGGTAGGTGCCCCGGGATTGAGGTCGGGAAACGGGGGGATGCGGATCTCTGTTCAGCTCTCTCCTCCTGGGGTAGCATGTCAGGAGGTCCAGTGTCCCAGGGCCAGGGTTCAAATCCTGCCTCCACTCCCTTCCAGCTCAGTGACCTTGGGTATGTCACTTCAATCAGTCAATCAATCAACATTTTAAAAAATTATGTTTATTTTGTCAAATATTTCCCAATCACATGTAAAAAAATTTGACAATCATTTTTTTTTTTAATTTGGGTTCCAAATTCATCCCCCCCTCCACTTCCCGCCAGAAGGCAAGCAATTTGTCAGTCCTTGAACTTCATTTTCCTGGGCTCTCAAGTGAGGGGGTTGGATTCCATGGTCTGTGAGGTCCCTTCAGACTTTCAGACTCTGTCTGATCCTGTGAATATGGTCTCCAGAACAAGGCTGGGGTGGGAGGAGGCGGCCAGCCCCAGGGGGTGGGACCGGGAGGACTGATCATATGTGGACGATGGGAGCTCAGTGTCAGCACCCCCCCCCCGCCTCCCCAGCTTACAAAGCACTTTAGCATCTTACTTCATCTGATCCTCACAACAGCTTTGAGAAGTAGGTGCTGTTATCATCCTCATTTTGCAAGTAAGTTCAGTATCCTGTTGGGGGTCACCCAGCCAGTGACCACCTGTCGGCCGTCCTGACCCCTCATCCCTCAGATTGGCGCCCCCACAGCTTTGGTCCAGGCCAGCGTCTGCACAGATTGTGCTGTAGACCTGTCGTTGGCTCCTGTGTGGCCCCACAGGGCAGCATTGGACCTCAGAAGGGCATGTTCTACTTTGTTGGTATGAGAAAGAGTTCCCCAAGACTTTGTGTCTAAACATGGGTCAGCCTGGGAGGGAATGATGTCGAGGCTGCTCTCCAGGGGTCTGTCCAAGCTTGTTCTGCTGAAGGGCCCTCTGAAGAAGCCTCTGCCCTTGTAGCGATTGAGGCTTCAGGTTATATCCTGGACTTGGATGGACCTCGCACTGTGGAGGCCCTGCTTTCTCTGCCTCTCTCAGTCTTGTTCTTCTGCCACCCCCATTTGAGTTCACCACTGCTCTTTGGGAGCTTGGAGTGAACGTAGCTTTCCCCTACCACTGGGCACCAAGCTTAGGAGGGAAGCAGGCTGGGATTAGAACGCAGGTCTTGACTCCCTGTCCTCTGCTCTACTGCTGCCTGTGCCATCGGCTCCATGACTGCAGCATTTCTGTCCTCAGGCAGGGCCGTCTGTGTCTCTAGTTCTGAGCTTTGCTTGTGGGTTTATAGGGAACAACAGAGATTGGGAGGAGGGATGAGAGGGCCAGGGGGCAGGTGGTTCTTGGGATTCAGAGGACCACGGATTGAGGGTGGGCAGGGACCTGAGAGGCATCTACTCCAGCTCTTTCATTTGGCAAATGAAATACTAAAGCCAAGACAGGTTAAGTGGTGTGTCCAGGCTATACAACTCATAAATATCTGAGGCAGGATTTGAACTCAAGACCTTCTGACTGTAAGTCTAGCATTCTATCCTCTCCATTCGATTCAGTTTCACAAACATTTGTGGATTATCTACCAAGTTGTAAGCTCTGTGTAGGATGCTGGAGATATGGTAGCAAGAGTTAAATGATCCCTTCCTTCAAGGAATGTGCATTCTCCAGGGGAAGATAGAGTATATATGTAGGGGCAGCTAGGTGGAGCTGGGCCTGGAATCAGAAAGAACTGAGTCCAAATTTGGTCTCAGACACTTGGTAGCTGTGTGACCCTGGGCAAGTCACTGAACTTCTGTTTACCTTAAGGAAATGGTGAACCACTCCAGTATCGTTGCCAAGAAAACCTCAGGGACAGCATTGGTGTGATATGGTCCACAGGGTCATGGAGAGTCAGACACAACTGAACAACAGAGTCTGACTCCAGAGACAGCGTTCATTTTATTGTGCCAGGCTGCTGTCTGGGTCAGCTCCCCCCACTCTCTCAAATACTCTCTCCCTCTCTCCTCTCTCCCTCTCTCCCTCTCTCCTCTCTCTCTCTCTCTCTCTCTCTCTCCCTCTCTCTCCCTCTCTCCTTTCTCTCTCTCCTCTACCTCTCTTCTCTCTCTCTCTCCCTTCCTCTCTTCATTTTACAGATGAGGAAACTGAGGCCAAAACAAGTTAAATTATTTGCTCAAGGTCATACCCAGGACCTTTGGCTCTAAATCTGGAATAGAACTGAAAGAAAATGAAGGATGATTTTGTGTTATGGGGAGTGTGCCAGGAATGTCCACCCTCTTCATAGACAGCTCCTCAATATTTGCCTCATAGTTGCCTGATGTCTAAAATCCCATAATTATAGCTTAATTCCTTTGGCATAAGACTTTGTTCTCTTTTTAAATGTCAATGGCCAAGAGAGAGACAGCATTAAGCCTCATTATCTTAGCATTAATAGATTTGTCAGATTTTTTCCTCTAGAGAGACAGTTTTGACAGTAGTAAGGGGGAAAAGCTATTGAGAGGATTGAGCACTTTCCATTCTTGGTCAGTTGGAACTGTTGTGTCACCCACGTGTATCAGATGTGTTGCTAAGGGAGGATATGAGGAGCTGGACTCAGTCACATGTATGGAGCCCCTTCTGTGGTCCTAGGGGAGGCTGTGGGGGTGGGGACAGAAAGCTGGCTCCAAGGGTGTTTGGTACAGAGACTGTTAACCTGGAGTCTGCCAGGGCATTTTAAAACTAAAGTCATTATGTGACCTGCAGGAATACTTACTGTTATTTTTTCCCATTTAATAGTATTTTATTTTTTCCAATTACATGTAAAGATAGTTTTTAACATTCACTTTTATAAGATCTTAAGTTCCAAATTTTTCTACCTCTCTTTCTCTCCCCTTCATCCTCCCCAGGACAGCAAGCAATCTGATATAGATTATACATGTACAATCGTACTAATCATACTATTTTTACATTAGTCATGTTGTGAAAGAAGAATCAGAATAAAAGGGAAAAACCATGAGAAATGAAAAGAAAAAATAGTATGCTTCAATTTGTATTCAAACTCCATAGTTCTTTCTCTGGATGTGGATAGCGTTTTCCATCATGAGTCTTTTGGAATTGTCCTGGATCATTGTATTGCTGAGAAGAGCTAAGTCTGTCATAGTTGATCATCGAACAATGCTGCTATTACTGTGTATAATGTTCTCCTAGTTCTGTTTACTTTGCTTAGCATCAGTTCATGTAAGTCTTTCTAGGGTTTTCTGAAAGCATCCTGCTCGTAATTTCTTACAGCACAATAGTATTCCATTACATTCATATACCACAACTTACTCAGCCATTTCCCAATTGATGGGCATCCCCTCATTTTCCAATATTTTGCTGCCACAAAAAGAGCTGATATAAATATTTCTGTAGAAATAGGTCTTTTTCCTTTGTTTTGGATGTCTTTGGGATACAGACCTAGCAGTGGTATTGCTGGATCAAAGGGTATGCACAATTTTATAACCCTTTGGGCATAGTTCCAGATTGTTCTCCAGAATGGTTGGATCAGTTCACAACTCTACCAACAATGCATTAGTGTTCCAATTTTCCTATATCTTCTTCAACATTTATAATTTCCCTTTTCTGTCATATTAGGCAATCTCATAGGTGTGAGGTGGCACCTCAGAGTTATTTTAATTTGCATTTCTATAATCAATAGTGATTTAGAGCATTTTTTCATGTGACTATAAATAGCTTTAATTTCTTCATCTGGAAACTGCCTGTTCATATCCTTTGATGATTTATCAATTGGGGAATGACTTGTATTATTATAAATGTGACTCAGTTCTCTATATATTTGAGAAATGAGGCCTTTACCCGAGACACTGGCTGTAAAAATTGTTTCCTAGCTTTCTGCTTTCCTTCTACTCTTGGTTGCATTGACTTTGTTTGTGCAAAACCTTTTTAATTTAATGTAATCACAATTGTCCGTTTTTGCATTTCACAATGCTCTCTATCTTTTTTTGGTCATAAATTCTTCCCTTCTCCATAGATCTGACAGGTCAGCTGTTCCTCTCCAGGGATACTTATGTATGAGATGATAGTGGTTCCTATTTTTGCCGCTACACAAACACTTTGGAGTCAAGACATATGAGATCGGTTTAAATCCTACCTTTTGCCATTGGCTAGCTCTGTGACCTTGGGAAAGTGACCTCCCTTCTCTGGGCTTCAGTTTTCTTATCTGTAAAGTGAGGAGGATATGTCAGATGACCTCTAAGACCCTTTCCAGTTATAAATCCTTGATTCTTGCTCAGCGTCATCTGCTGTACCTACATCCAGCTCATGTCCACTGACCCTCGGTGTTCCTCAGGCTCTGTCCTCAGCTTCCTTCTCTGCTGCCTTCTCCTTCTCAGCCCTCACCGACTCAGTTATCGTCTCCATGCAGATGATTCTCAGGTCTGCACAGCCAGACCTAAGGTCTCTCCTGAGCTCCAGGTTCCCGTCACCAATGGCTTTTTGGCCATACTGACCTGGATATCCCAGATGTCTTGTAGCCATCTCACACTCAACTTGTCCCAATCAGAACTCATTATCTTTATCCCCAAGATCCTCCTCCTTAACTTCCCTTATTACTGTCCAGGGTATTTCTTTCTGTCACTGATGCTTGAAATCTCGGTGTCAAGCTCCACTTGACTCAACTCATCCTTGCCCTCCATATCCCACCTCTTGTCAAGTCTTCTTTTTTTATCTTCACAACAGCAAGGCAGGAGCTGGATGGATAAATAAAAGCTAGAATCAGGAAGACCTGAGTTCAAATGACCTCAGGTACTTATGGACTGTGTTAACCTTTGTCTGCCTCAGTTTCCTCATCTTGTTTGTAAAGCCCTTTGCAAACCTTAAAGTGCCAGATGGTACAGTGGAGACCTCGAGTCAGGAAGACCACCAACCCAGCCTCAGATACTTCCTAGTTATGTGACCCTGGGCAAGTCATTTAATCTCTCTTGGCCTCAATTTCCTCAACTGTAAAATGGAGATGATAATAATAGCATCTACTGCC